CCTTCGGAAAATTTCGTGAATATATCTTCCATTTTGAAGTTTATAAGCAATAAAAATATATTTATAAATCGTGATTCGAGTTGATTCGTTGGCGGTCAGGTCATCAATTAGCTCTTTAACCATGTACCGTTGTTATAGATTTGCGAAACGGTTACAGTTTGGGTTGAGTAATGGAAACACTAAATCAGTTTAGTTTAATTGGGAATATCGAACAAAAATTAAGACTCCGCCTAAGGGGCTGTTTTATCCTATATTTCTCTTCTCATAAATTCGCGGGTTTATCCCCCACTAAATCATATTTCATGGTTACTGAGTTGAAAAAGATGCCAAAGCTAGCAAAGAACACAAACCAAAGTAAAAAAAAAAATAAATAATTCAAGTTAATGTAATAATATATAATATAATTAAATTAAGCTAAACAAATATGACTGAAAACAAAACCAAATAAAATTATAATCAAATTAAAACAAAATAGCAAAATACGTGTAGACTCGGCGGTAGCCGAACGGACAGCATTGCGTGCTTCCACTCGGAAGGCCGGGCCCAAATTCCGGTGCTACCAGCATCCAAAAATTATAGAATAATAATATATATATATTGCTGACATGAAATAAAGCTCCTTATAAAAATCCCGTCAGTATAAACTGTAAGTCACTCCATTGGTTTTAAAAACACCAAGACGCAAAACCACAAATTGGAGGAGGTGCTCGCCCGAAAATCACTTCAGCGGTTACAAAGCTCCAATTATATATATACATATAATAAATAAAAAAATAAAATAAAGAAATAAGAGTAATAATAACAACAATAATATATTAAAGTAAACCAAAGTAAAATAAAATAAGATTTATCAAACAAGATTAAATTATGTATTAAAAAATAATATAAAAATAAAATAAAAAATAAATAATAAAATTAAATTAAATAATATTAAACTAAACAAACCACACCTGAAACAAATTATCCTATGTGATATCGTAACTAGTAGTTAGTAGGCGAGTTTTTTTCTGCTATACGATTAAGTAAAATAGAAAGCGTATGCGTGGCTACTGATGAGTTTTTTAGGTAGAGCTTTTGTTACTACACATATGTATGCACTTGTAAAAGCTTTTACAAACAAATTTAGTATACACTTCAAACCTAACAATCTCAGCCCATGCTTTAAGTAGCACCAAGCGTTAATATATCATACTTTGTTCCACTCTATTTTTTTACTTGCAACGTCTACAAATATCCACTACGAACAACATATCCACACTTTTACCAATTGCCATTTGAAGGCCATACAGAATTCATTCAATAAATCATTTTTTATTCTACGTAAAAAAAAATTATTAAGTTCAACACATAGCGAAAGATCGAGCTTCCCTGAAGACACGGAAAAGAGTAACAAAAGAAAAGAAGACGAAAAAATCAATAGCTCCTCAAGCCTCCTCAAGTTTATATATAGATTCATGTTCATACATTTATATACATATAAATATATATAAACATATGTGCTTCTGTGACAGCGACGTTGCTTCTGATCTCTGTACATCTCGTGAAGGTAATTTGTTGTTTTTGCTCTCGTTTACAACAAATTAAATTTCAGTTTTAACAGCTTCAAGCATCATTTAGACAACAATGATCGCACGGCCACAAGTTGTATTGGATGGAATGCGTACATTGACCGGTTGAGATTCTTCAACAGCCTCACAGCACAACAACAACTCTACTGAAAATGCGCATTTATGAATGTTGCAACTTTGCTATTGTCGGCCTATGGTTGTTGTTCAACACCTTTAGTAGTTTTATTGCTGTTGTCGTTGGCGCGTTTTGTGTGCTGCTGCGTGCCCGTACAACTTCTAGGCAAACGTGCGATATATAATATAAGGCGGTCTCAAGCAGTGCAATGCCACAATCATTAACAGCGGTAAAATCCGCAGCAGTAGCTGAAACCGCCACATCATCATCACGCTTGAGCGCATCAGCAATGTGGCAACAATTCGACACATGTCGGTAACCTTTTTCAAGCGAAGAAAAAATATGAATACTTGAAAGCTGCAAGTGAAATGACCTTCGTTGGTGATTTACTTATTTCTTTAAATCTTTTTTGGAATTTTTCTTTTATTTTATCTTTTTGCTATATATTTTATTATTTTTTCCGTATATGATTTGTTTTCTGCTTTGTTTTCAACACCTTCAAAATATGTACTGTTGATGATCGATAGCAACAAACCACTTAACTTTTCTTAGTAAACGTACAAACAACATAAATTGTCGATTTTCTTGTTGTTTCTTTTTTTTTCTAGTATTGGGATGCTGTGAAGATGTTATTGGCCTTTGCGCTTTGTTTTTATTTTTGTTTATTAATTTTTTACCATTTTTCTATTTTCATATTATTATTTTTTATTATATTATTATTTTGTTCGTTATTTAATTTTATTGAGTATAACATTGCCTGCATTTATCATTGTTTTGTGGCATTCAACTGAAAATTGCTAAGTGGCTCAATGCCCGCTGCGATGATGGCCAGTTGGTCAATGTCAATGTCAAGTTTGTATATGTGTTTGTAATAACTTGTATTTGAATTTGTTTTTATATTGGATAAATGGAATTTCTTTGCTTCATTTCATTTGTATGTCGTTTGATTTTGAGATATTTCGTAGATATCATTGGCTAAATCATAACGGGTAAAGCAATAAAGCCCTAGTTACAACTGATTTTTTAATTTTAATGCGATTAAAAATGTATGGACTTGATAATTTTGTTTGCATTTAGAAACTAATTATAGAGGCAAAAAATTAAAGGTAGTTCTTGGAAGCTGTCTATGAGGGTTAAGCGAGTTGTTCAACTTTTTTCGTCAGCTTGGTTTTGATATATTCGATATATTCTAACCTTCGAAAATAATTGTTTCCTGTCCTCTTTTTATACCATATGTTGAAATATGTGAGGCTTATTAATACTTATTATGTAAACTGTTTTTAAAAAAAAATATAAAGGATTTGAACTAAGCAATAATATTTAACTTCCCCAAATAATATTTAAAAAAAAAATAAACCCAATCCACTAAAAACCTGTAAATTTTATTCATCGGCGTAAACAATTTGAAATAATAATTAAAAAAAAATTGCTTTCTATAAAAATAAAAAAAAAATAAAAATTAAGAAAGTGATAAATTAAAAAAAAATAGAACAAATGGAATATCATAAAAAAATAATAAAATTATAAATGCATATTTTTGCAGCTGCACTTTAGTATAACCACTATATACGAGTATGTATATCTGATTATTATAATTTTTTATTTATCCTCTATGACAGCTGCTTTATACCAACAATAGTGGCTTTGTTTCAAGCTTTGTTTTCGTATGCCGCAATTAAAAAGAAATATACTTACCCACATTTAATCAAAATCTTCTATGTATGTACTATTATGTAGACATATTTGAACAGCTGTTGTTTAGCGATTCGAATATCCGGTTGGGTATGCTGATGATGCGTTGCAATTGCATTTCGTCTGTAAGGAGCCTAGGATTGAAATTTTTTAGCTCTCATAATTTTTTTTATTAGTTTCAAAAATTGGAGTATTTATCATTTCACGGAAGAAGAGAATTTCAAACTTATAAAATATATGTACTTATATCGAAATGTTAAAAATAATATTTATTTTAATATCGAAACTATATTTTATCAAAAGCGAAATGTTCTTATCCTTTTCGAATATAATGTTCCCCAAATTGTTTGAAAGACTCTCCATTTTATGAATATTATGCTCGTGTATGTATTATTATTTTTTTTCTTCAAAAATTTCCTTATTTTTAATACTTGGCTGTACTATGTACGGACATTGCGATGTGAAAGGAAGTCCTGGTCGGTGTACTTTATAATCAACGAAGAGATGGTGTGCGTTTTCACGGGTATTTTCCATGACTTGGCGAATGATAAATATTTAGTTGACGTAGACTTTTTGAAGATCTGGCAGAGCACCCTTAAGTTCCAATTGTCAGGCGTACTTCATCAAATAAAGTGATGTAAATGATAAATTCAGTATACTGTGAGTTCGCTAGACCACCTCTTTGGGTTCAACAAAACCCCTTCATTCTTGGTACAAATTTCGCTCTTTGACACTGCCATCCAGCTTCTCAAGGGCTCACGCATTACCGGATAGTGATTCGGGTATATCCCAGCAAGATCAATATGCCTGAGAGTTTCTCGATGCGAAGACAGCCGAATAGCATGACGAATTTTCTTGAACTAAAATATAGTACTACAGATAACCTTATTTCGGATTCCAGCGAAGTCGATCAGCCTCAACCGGATTCCGGATGTTTCGTAGTGGAGCCTAAACTTTCCGATAGATGTGCCGAAGACACTCATTTTGCCCATCCTGACGTTAAACTCTCCAAACACAATTGTCATCGCGTCGGGTGCATCTCCCATAATTTGCCTTCAGATGTCCATAAAAGTCATCTTTGATGACGTAACCTTTTTCTTTCATTGGAGAGTGGACGTAAACCAACTTTTGTAGCTAACAAACGCTCTATTCAATTTCCAACTTACCTTTTCAATATATCCATATTGAATCAAATTATTCAACACTATATTGTGATTCTTGCAATCCTTTGCTTACAACTAGAATTTTATTTAAAACTTTGAGAAAAATTACTATACATTTAGAGTTGTTGTCAAAAGCTAAATAAATAACTTGTTTCATTTTCTACGAAAGCCAAAGTAGTGCCTTGAAAGTATTGTACTAGTGTGTGAGTATACATGCGTTTGTTTGGAGCAACTTCTTGTGGGGAGCATATGAGAGTTTTTTTATATTACATTTACTAATATACATATGTATATATCATTTTATATTTTACTACAATTTCAATTAATTATATATTATATATTTTAGTAAGTTTATAAAAATTTATTTTAGGGAAATACTGTTCAAATTCAATTTTTATTTTTGCTTTTAAGCAGTTTTCTGAATTCAATATGCATTTCTTTCATTTTTATTTATTGGTTTTTTCTTTTTATTTTTTATTTTTTGGAAATTAATTAATTTCTTGCATTCGTTTCTATAACTACTCAAGCATTCCTATTCGAGTCGAGTTTATTATCGCGTTTTTGTTTCTTCTAAAATTCTTTAATTCCAATCATGCTTTCCGCAATACTTGTCGATTGTGGCAATGACAACAAGGACCATTAGTAAAAACAATGGAGCCAACAACGGCAACATTAAACTTTAAATATTGAAGTATATGTGATCTGTGGACTCGAGAGGCTTGCGCTCAGCGGCGGCACCATTAACAACACCACTGCTACCGAATAAACCATGTTGTATTTGCTGTTGTGACTCAGTTTTTTGCACTGGTAAGTGTTGCAACCATGCCAAAGCCGGATGTTGCACTGTCAGCGGCTTATTGTTATCAAGTTGTTTTTGTTGTTGTTGCTGAGGTTTTCGTTGCAACTGTCGCCATGTCAAAGCTTCCAAATCGTTAGTGTTTACTCGCACCTGATTTGATGGCAATGCCATTAGCCAGCTAGCGCGACGTTGCGCTTGCTTTTTTTGTAATTGTAGCCGTTGTTGTTGGTGGTGTTGTTCTTGTTGCACTTGTTCTTGTCGCAATTGGCGACCGTGGTAGCGCGGTGTGGCTTTCATTGACGTTTGTTGTTGTTGCTGCTGCTGATTTGTTGCCCGGTTCATCTGTTGCCGCTGCACTGACTGTGCCGCCGATGATAACAATGAACGCAAACGATTTGCAGCTATTCGTGTAGCGCCGCCGTACGAGCTCGGCACGCGTCTCAAGCGTGAGTACATGTTTGTGCCGCGCCATCCCACCGTCGGACGCTTGGTTGTCATCACTACATCGGACATTGCATCGCGAGTATCTATTTGTAGCAATGACGACTTGACTGGAGAGTGATCGTTCTCATTTAGTGCGGCAACAATGGCGATCGCTTCGGCCACTCCTTCACCGCTGCCAGCGCCGTCATCGGACATTACAACATTGCTGTCAATTGTGTCGCTATAATTGTTGCTGTTGTCATCACTGTTTTTATCAATTCCAATTCTTAATGTATCAACGGCATCATCGACATCGTCATCATCCTCATTGTCACAATCTTCCCGCGCTCCACCGTACACATTTACCAATGTCGAGCAATTCCTACTCTGCCTCCACCTCAAACGTTTATCCAGTTCGCCCAACACGCGACGCATTGCATTTGTAACAGGCGGCGCTGTCAAGTTGCTGTCATCGTTGCCATCAACGTGATTGTCTAACAGCTGCTTGCCTTTTTCCCCTTCCGCGTCATCAATAGCGCTATCAACGCTATTCAAACCAATCGCCTCCTCGTTGAATGCCCGTTGCGGCGTAGTGGCGACGGCCTTTGGCGGCTTCTGTTTTTTGCCACGATTCGGAAAGAATAGATCGTCATACTTGAAAATGTCTTTGATTTTGTCGCGTTTGCCGCGATTCGGCACAAATGTTTCGTAACGATTCAACAAGGCGTCCAGATCGGGCAAATTGTGTTTACGGCCGCGAGGCGGTATGAATGGATCGTCTTTGTATTGAGGGGCTGAAGAAGAAAAACAGAACAAACACAAAAATGTTGCTGTAAGCTCGGAGAAGGAAAGTGTAAAATTAAATGAAATTACAATAAAAAAAAGCATTGCTGGTAATGAAGTCAGGCGCATTATGCTTTAGTTTGAATGAAATAATTTGTGGCGTTCAGTTCGGGGAATTTTACCAACTGTCATAAAAGCAGAAGACAGTTTGCCATAGATATTCATGAATATGTGAGCTTTCTCCATTATTTTCAAGTGTCTGCACTCTTTTATTTTGTGTGACTGCAACTAATTTCTGCTGCAATTCTGTTCATATCTGTGTTAATTTTGAGTGCTAGCGTAAATGTTTATGAGTTCAGTGTATAACCAGTAAATATAAAATGTCAACTATTAAACGTTTGTAAGTATCTAAGTTTAGGTTGTGTACACAAATTTTTTAAATCTAACTTAGTCTATATTTTATTTAATTTTATTTCATACTATTTTATTTTAATTTGCTTAATTTAATTCGATTTAATTTATTTTATTTTATTTATTTATAATATTATTTGTAATTTTATTATTTTAAAATATATATTTTTTCTATTTATTTTATTTTATCTTATTTTATTTTACTTTGCTTTAATTCAGTTTACTTTACCGTACTTTATTTTATTTTATTTAATATTTTTTACTTTACTATATTTCATCTTTTTAAATTTATTTTATTGTACTTTAGTTTACTGAGTTAAGTTTACTTAAATAACTTCACCGTACCTAATTTATTTAAATTTTAATTTATTTTATTTGATTTCATTTTATATTATTTTTTTTATTTTATTATATTTTATCTCATTTTGTGTTTTATTTATTTTTTTTCTTTTTCTTCTTTCAAAATTTTTTATTTGTGTTTTTTTTTAAATTTATTTTGTTTATTCCGTATTTTTTATTTCTTTTTATAATATATTGTTATACTCGCATATGTTTTAACAATAAATTCAAGTATATTTTTTTTTTGGAAATAGAAATTTATTGTGGTTTAGTTTTAATTATGTTGCAACGTACCGTGATTGAAATTGAAAATATTTTGGAAGTGTAGGCCTTTACGTAACGGCTTTGGGTCTTCGGTAAGGTATCCTTTAAAAGAAATGTTGGATTATTCACGAGACGACATACATTTTTTATATTTTTCATATTGAAACATGAAAAGATGTGTTTTCTTTTTGAGCAGTTTTAAATTCAAATTTTTTTTTTCTAATGGGTAAGCTTTGAATAAACTTTTTGAGCTTTTTTATACTTTTTATTGTTGTTCTTTTATATAATTTTTATTTTGCACTATATCTGTGAAATTTTTAATTTTCTTACACATGCATATACTCTTGTATAAAATTTTTTCTCATCGAAATTTGTGTGTTATATATTGCTATGGTGGGAGATCTCGCAAAATATAATTTTAATTTAAAAAATTCATTCAACACAAATATTCAACATCGTGCCCATTATTTGATAAGCTTTTTCCACCAAAAAATTCCACATAATATTAATAATTTCTTTTTCTGAAAATCTAGTCACATCTCTGAAAATGTTCGCTCTGAATTATTAACTACTGCTGGTGTCATTATAATTTTATTTCTTGTATAATTTTTTTTTTTTTTTCAACTGACAACTATTTTTGGCCGCCTTTATTTCTCACATGCATTCATGGTTGTGAAAAATTATTACCAAATATGTGAAAAGGCAACATTTTTATTTTGCTCCTACTTTTTCGAAATTTATTTTTCCCCTTTATCTCAACACATTTAATAACTGTAATACGCAACATGCATTTTAAATTAAGCTCAAATCATGACAATGCAACACAGCTATGCAGCGTTTGTGTGTATGAGTACATGCAGCTGTAAGAGGCTATCAACGTTGAAATGCCATACACTGCTTCTGGTAGTCGCCTGGTTGCCTGTGAAACTGGGTCTGACATGTGAATTACATTAAGGGAGCAGCAAGCGCCTAACCACATGCAGGCGAAAAAATAGTGAAATTCGGTTGAGTTGCCGCCGTTACAGATCATGTATTCGATAATCACAAATAAAAAAAAAATCACAGCAAATAAAAGGTAAATAAAAGTTTGCATTTTAAAAGTCTTATAAAATCACATAAAATAAAACAAAATATAATAAAATAAATAAAAGTGAAATAAGGTCACCAAGTATCACCAAGTTATTATTTAAAATAATTTAATTAATTTAACAAAAATAATAATAAGATATAAAGCAATTACAAATGCCAATCAAATCTGTAGCACACTTAATTTAAAAAAAAAATGTGCAGCTACATATAAACGACGTACATAGTGTCTCTCAAAAGCTCTTCCAATATGTGTTTTAAGCCCCACGATCTCTTCAACCAACACAACATCATTAACAACCTTTGTTTCCCATCTATGTACTCGTATGTAAATGTACATACAAATATGTATTCCATATAACGTTTACTTACCGCTTGTTAGATCTTCATCCAACTGCTCACGTCGTACAATCACATACTGCGGCTCCTCCACTGACAAAGGTGGTTCGAGGTGTCCCGATAAATTCAACTTCTTCCAATTGAACATGCCTGGGTGGTAGGACTCAGCGCGCCCGCTACCATTGCTGAGCTGGGCCAAATGCTGATATGTATAGAGTTGTTGCATGGCCCAACTAAGGAATTTCATGACATCTTGTTCACCATTGAGCAGCATTAAAATATCATTGTCGGCATTGTTGTCTTCATCTTCAGCCTCGACTTCAGCGGCTGCAGCCTCCTCGTCGTTAATGCCGATATGGCGACTACCATCAACAACACTGCCGGCATTGGCCAACTCTGCGGCAATATTGTAGACATTATCTACCGTGGCGTCATCATTAATGTTGGTGAGCATATCAACATCGAAACCGCCGCCGCTGTCGCTTTTGCCAAAATGGTATGCTTGCCCGTTCATATTGACAACATCATCATCGCCGCCAATGACTCCGACATACTCAGCGTCGCTAGTGAAATCATCCATTTGCTTAGCAGCAGCGGCTGCCGCGCGACTCCTACTGCAACACCGAAATCATTGTGTAGCGCGGGTGGTGTTGCACGTTGATTGTGAGCAGCAGCGTTGGTGGCATGAAATGATAGATAAAATGGTTGATTGAATGAAAAATTGCTTGTACATTGAAAAAGCACGGTTACGAAAAACGCAAGAACAACAACAAAATATTAATAAATATTTTTTTGTGATCTTAATTTATATAAACGTAATTTGAGTTGTGTATTCATGTGGTTGCAACCAATTCCGCCACATGTGTACATATGTAGATGTATTGGCCTACCCATTAACCCATTGTGCTCATTTGCGGGCAAATGTCCACTTCCTTCACCTCCGCTCAACCCACTGACTGCCTCATTTCGCAATAATATCGTCTTATGAAGAAGAAAATGCTGCGCGCACTTGCACTGCAGTTAAAGTATTGCGTTACATGTTGCACGTTCGACGCATGGTGTATTCATTATGCTGCTACGCTATGTTGGTGCCGCTCTTGCGGATGCTCAGTGTGAGAATGTGCGAATTGTTGGTTGCGTGGGCAGCGGTTTCAATTACACACGCTGACTTATGGGTGCGTATGACTTGCCATATACCTACATGAATATATGTATGTGACTTAAAAGCCTACAAGTTTATAAATTTATGTACATACATATGTATGTATGTATTTAAAAATTGAAAAAAGTTTCTGATAAATAAATATATATTCATTCAATATATTGCGAGTTTAAGTCATTTTTGCCATAGTGTGGGCAGATGTTGCACGCTATAATATTGCTGCAACAGCAAATCCACTGAAGTCTTACACTGCATTCATTGCATGTATTTATATTTCCTTGCATACGTGTAAAGCATTTTGCAGTAATTTGATTTTTAAAGTTACTTTTTTACTCTTTTGTCGGCGTGCGCTGCCTAAGGGAACTGTTTACTCGGCATTGTGGGAGCGGTTTAGGTGTGTCTTTGGTAGCCAAAATACAAATATTCAAAAATTGAAAAAAAATATTTAAAAAATAAAACTATGAAAATAAGCCTTGGGTTCGTTTATAACGCTGCTAATTTGAATAAATAGATTTCTAGTTCTTTACAGGTAGAAGTAGAAAAAACCACTATTCAAAGAAAAAAACCATCAGGTGGAAACAAAAAACAGAACATTAAAAACTATTTGTGAATTTTTCAATCAAATAAATTATGATTTGAAATAAAAGCGAAAATTATTTCAAAAGGAAATAGTTAAGACAATTTACTTCCTTTAATATTTAGGGGTATCACAAAGTTAACGCAAGGATTGAATTAAATTTTCATTTTAGCCTTTAGTCTTCTGATTGTGATTTTTTACCGCATCATTAAACAAATAATAATAATTAAATATAAACAATTCAGGGCGCCCTTTATAGTTTTTTTTTTATTGAAATGTTCTTCTTTACGTTACGTATAATAGAGGGTTTTCCAATAAGACGTGTTATTATGATATTGAAAGGAAACTGGCATTTTTTGAGATAAATAATCGGATATTAATTTCAATGTAAAAAGGACAATATGCCTTTAATAATGGAAAACAATATTAGCCAAACGACCGCTACGGCTACTTTCAAGACTGTGTACCTTATATGAAATTCCCCATCACCAAATCCTAATATCCCTTAATAGCAAACTTAGACCTCACCCTTCACGTGACCCCAAAGAAAGAAGTCGCAAGGTCTTAAATTCATTTGCGATCACCTTTTCGAAAAACAACACTTTTATCTTAAAAGATCGATGGTTTTGTTGCTTGTGTTATACGCAGCATTGTTCAGATCAATACCATCCATTTCCGGCCATAAAGAGTCATAAATTATCTCTCAATAGCGATAACCAATTAAACTCAATTGAATTTTTGCTGGAATTTGCTTGAGTTATTGTGGTAACTAAACTTTATAAGCCTTAAGACCAAAGTGTTTATCCAAAGAACGGCTAGGAATGAACAAAGCTGAGTTCTCTTTCACAATTTGGGCTACGCAGCAATATTCTCAGAAGTTCTTGAGCGACGAGCAAGTGCTTTATTCTTCTTATCACTGACTTGTCCCAACACCATCATTTTTTCCACCAATATCTGTATTGCGGTCCAAGAATTGGCTTCACAACGACCGAAAAATATCTTAGTTTTACAAACTGTCTGCCATGTTTTCACCATTTTTAAAGTGAATTTTACAATAATAACTTCCATGCATTGTTGAAGCGTGTATTCTACCATTTTTATTAGTTGCATAATTTTTACTTGTTAAATGTCAACAAATCACAGCTTCAAAAGTGACATCTACCGAAATAGCAGGCTTTTTTAAATAACATTTAAAACATTATCTTTAACTTTGTTGACCTTTTTCTTTTCCTTTTAATTATATTTTATTAAAACCTTTTTTATTACACAAATTTGCCTACACTTAAAGTTTTATTAAATTTTTTTTTACATAATAATATTTGGAAGGAAACTTCAAGTCATTAATCATAAGTAAACTGTTATTATCATATCAAAATAACCACTGCATAAATATTAACTTATGATTTTCAAAATTAAGGCTATCTGGTTTTGAAGCGTTATTGGCTAATACACATACATACATGTGTATGTACATTTGCTCGCAGATTTTGCGTTTTACGTATGCTTTTTGTGTCAACAAATCTAAAATTAAAGAAAAAAATATAAACATATATAATATAATTAATTAAACACTCCAATCAACTGACTACTCATCACTACATTAAAAAAATAGCTTATCGCTAGATATTGCTAGCGCCATCAATCATCGACAGAGCGGGTAAGCGAACTTTGTGTAAAGGTCAATTGTAATTATAATAAATAATTTTTAATTGAATTGAAAAAAGGCTAACTGTAAAAAACCATCAGCTCGGAGGGTGCTTAGTATAACTGTCGTCTCTTTATTTGTTGAAAAAACATCAAGACGCAACACAAATTGGAGGAGGAGCTCGGCCGAAAAATCGCTTCAGCATTTTCAAAGCGCCAATTATATACATATATAATTTTTAATTTTATGTATAAAAAATAGTATTAATAAAATTTAATTTTTATAATAACATAATATTATAATTTAAATATATTTTAGTTAATACTAATAAGGTTGATGAGCTGAGAATTATTATAATTATAAATGAATAAACAAAGCGTAAATTAAAATTTGCTAAAAGAGTGGGAGTTATCCCAATATAGTAATAATAATAATATTTGTAATAATGACTTTTTAATTACAGTCGCTTTAATGATAGGTTTTTTTTATATTTGCTAATCTTTATTACCTATAAAGCTATTAATTTATACCCAGCAGTAAATATCTGGTGATAGTTTGCAATATCCATGGTGTTCCGAAAGTTCATATTTATATTTAATTTTTGCTCAATATACTTCTAGGAACATTTGTGATGTAAATTGTTGAATTACAAGCATACTGTTTGCTTTATGACGGTTGGTTGGTTGATTGGTTGATTGGTTGAAGAGCTCAATTAGACTACCAAACGGGTCCATCGTGATACCACTGAGCATCCTAAGGAACCCAACACGCTAATCATACCAATGTGTCTCTACCAAAACTGAACGTTATTTTTCTAAATTACGCAAAGGTTTGACTTACTTTACTGGAGCAGACACCGCTTACTCGATTATAGCCGATTTACAACATCGCGCCATTCGTTTCTTCTTTTTTCTGTTTGGCGCCAATTGGAAATACCAAGGACAGCCAGATCCTTCTCTACCTGGTCTTTCCAACGGAGTGGAGGTCTACCTCTTCCTAGACTTTCATCTTATCCGGCAAAATTCACAAGGCAAGTGCCTCAAAGTTTCAGGTTTCTCTTCTTGACTGCACGCCCAACCCTGCGGCCCTGTCCAATATCGCCATATTACAGTGGTCACAGTACACGCACTGAGACTTCTGAAACTTAAGTTATCATCATTATTAAACTCTTCCATATTGAGCTTACAAGTAGATATGACGCTATCTACTACAGTCTTTCTTGATGGCGAAAGTGGAAAGAAGTGCTCTTCGCTGCAAACTCATCCGCCATCTGATCACCCGATAAGATTCTGTTGCCAGGCACAGTTCAAAGAGAATTATTTATGTACACGTTTAGTGATCTGTGACAGTTCTCTACAATTTACGATTTTACTTTTACAGATTCCAGGGTTTTTAATGTTCCAGTTGTTTTAGCGTCACCATTGAGTTTAGACCATTGAAAGCTTCGTGAATAGACATGAATTTCGTCTGACAATCTCTACAGGGATTTAGTAAACGAAAGGATTTGCAAATGCTACTTTGTGTAAACTTCCTATACCGATCCTATTATATAATTTTGACCCTTCCACCGTACAAATATAAATCGAGTTGAACCTTACTGACCTATCTGGGATACCTAACTTAAAATATGTTGTGAAGTCAGTTAATAATCCATTTTTTCTGGTTGACGGAATCTTTTTAAGCCCGTCGTTTATTACTATCTATTAAGACACCTTTTGTAGTCTAATCGCTTATCGCTTATCAAAAAACATTATGCATAATGTCAATGAGAAATAGATCAAAGAGGATATTCATAGCAACAGCTGCGGGGCAATAAGTGCTCCGCTAATAAACCAACACACTTATAAAAGAGGGTATCAACAACGCAAGCAGAAGTTAATAAACCACTCTCGAGGAACTAAAAACCTACGATTAATCGATTCTAATGAAAATATCGATAATATGATTTTAAACCAACTTAAAAAAAGGAAAATTCGCATTCAAAAGTAGTAAATAAAAATTCATTTATTCAGTTTTCAAAATTTATAACCACATTTTAGAGACCTAGGACCATTTGTGATGTAAATTATAGAATAACAAGCATTCTGATTGCTTTATGATGGTATCACTATGATGATAGTCACATTTTAGAGAAGTTTAAAAAAAAAAATTAAATAAAAAAATATTAGGAAGAAAGTCGTTCTTTAT